TTTCACTAAAAGGCCAAAAACGCTTTGTTGGCATCACTATGTGCGAGTGATTTTGTAAGTGTCGATAACATGGGAAAAGTCTGTCGGTAAAAAACAATGTGTTGGTTTGCCTGCACTATCGACAGTTCTATTGGATACATGAGCCTACATGTTTACAACTTATTTTACATATTTATAAAAAACTTGTCCTATTAATTACTTTTCATTTGTTACAGATTTTTTCTAACACACAATATTGAATTATTAATTTTTGCAATTTTTGTTTTTTGGATGAGAAAAAAGAAGATGTAAAAATTATGATTAGTTCTGGAAATGGTTTAAACTGCCCTATGCCAACACAAGAATTTTAATCAAGAATTTAGTAGCAAGTGAGTATAGCGTGAAATATAAGTTTAAATAAATTGGGTGCAAAAGTGTGAAAACGTATTTAATTTTTGTGTGGTAAAATAAGATATTTTAGTGTAATTTGACTATCTCTCTTTGCAAAATATATCAGTTATCTCGTTGGGTTTAAACATCTCTAGCTAAATCACAGTGGGATAGAAGTTCATTATCATTAAAAAAATTAAATATTCAATTAAGAAATTTTTTGGTTATTTTTTTCAAAATTTCCAGAGTTCTGCTAACCTATTTGATAATCAAAAAAAGTTAAGTGGAGTTCTTTCAAAGGATCTTCCAAACAAAATAATCAACACAAAAATAAAGCAAACATAATTGTTTTTTAAAATCAATCAATTGTATATTTTATTATTTTTTTGCAGTTATATACTTTTAACAATTTGAATTTTGTTTTAAAATAATACAACAAATAACAATTATTATTTTTTTCACAAATTTTTATAATTTTTAGCATTACATTGTATTTTTTTGTAATCAGTTTTTTTGGGAAATGTCTAAGAATCAAATATAAGAACTAAGTAAGGAAATTATAATAAACAATCGAAATGAAAACAACATTAAAAATCGCTCCAATTAGAACTTCATCCATGTGGAAGACCCTTTCTGCCAGGGGATTTTTTAGCAAATATTTTGTTATTAAACAAAGCTAAAATACTATATTTAAAACAGTTTTAACGTGAAGCTGCGTGTATTGTAGGTAGAAAAACAACGATTTTATAAGTTTCGCTCAATGTTCAATTTGGGAATGAACGAGACGACATCTGGAGATCTGCAATGTATAAATTGACGAATCTTTACATTTGAAATATGATTTGAGACGCAATAAGCGTTTTCGCTTAATACTCCATTGTTATGTACTTAATAAGCGAAAATCAGAATGAAAGCGCCACGCGTTATTTCATTTCACGCGCCATCGATAAAACAGTAATCACAAATACAATTTCAATGTCGATAAAGCCGTTTCCTTTTTGTTTTTGTTACACCATTAACGCGTAGCGCGCCCATTCTGCTATGATCTTAAGTAAAAAACAGAATAAACGCGTTTTGTTTTAATTTTTCCATAATTTCTGTTTACGCCACAAAAAAGACGATTTCATTCATTTTGATTTAAAAAAAATAATGTATGGTAAATTCAATTAACCCGATTTTGGCTTTGCTTTCACCGTTATATCTATAGCTTTTTGCTTCCTACGATAAAGATTTCCGAGAAATATTCCATAAATATATTTGTGACATAAAAATGTTGCGGTGAGAAGACCAAACAATGAAATACTCAAGTCGCAGTAATGCAAGGATTAAATTATGCATGGAAAAGTTTCAAAATGGTGCCTGGTTGTTCTTCATTTTATGGACTTGGGCCCATCTATGAAATAAAGGAAGTTATGTATCTGTTTGTTTACAAAAATGTATTGGAAAACGTGATGCTCCTCTTTTGCTGAGGAAAATATCCCGCTTGTTTGGGTGTTTTAGCATGACACTGACCCGAAACATGCATCAAAACTTGACAAAGATTGGTTGTGGCGATAGAGTCTAAAATCAGGGGTTTGTCATGGCCAGCACAATTGTCTGACGAAACTCCCATAGAAACCCTTTGGAGTATCGTAGACAGGAAGATCAAGCGATATTCTGAAACAAATAAACACAGCAGTTTTCAAAGGATTTCAGAGTGCTTGGGAAAGCAAACCGAAGGGTGAAATTGAGTGTCTTATTAATTTAATTAATCATAGGTTTGCAGTTGTTATCAAAAATAATGGTTATGCTATCGACTATCAGCCAAATTTACTTTTTTTAAAATAAAAAAAAAATTAAAAAGTTGCTTTAGTTTTGATCGAACAAAAATTGGATCAGTTTAGTTTTCCATATATTATTTTTCTTTCAAATGTGTACAAAATATTTTGTACATACTTTTGAGTGCGGTTGAGGCGCTGGGAAAATCGAACCATTTAAAATAAATATTTCAAAATTGTCAGTTTTCCAGCGGCCATAAAATATCACATGTGTACAATTCAGTGATCTTGTGTACTGTCGCATACGGTAATGTGTAGGATAATACAGGTCATAACCCACACTCACATATATCGATGCGCCAGTAGGTAGCCAAGATCACTTGAATGAAGGGACACGCAGCCATGTACAGGGTAAGATGAAAAAACTGCAACCAACTTCAGACTGCTGTCATTTCTAAGCCACTCGCCCGGCAGCTGTTAAATATTATTCCAGTGACAGCTCATTATATTGTTTGCAAGCGTACAAAAGCACTTTGGTGACAATTTTCCAGAAAAAGAGTTATTCGTGATGGAATTCAAGCGTGATAGTGTGATTTCTTTATATTTGGCTGGAAACCCACAAGTGGCTATCGTTAGAGCACTCCAGCATTTAAATGGGAATAAATCTTTTGTGTCTCGTACCATCGTTCGTTACCGTGATACTGATACTGGTAGCGTAGCACGACAGAAGAAAACAGAAACAGCAACATCAGCAGAAATGGTTCGAAAAGTAAAGTAGCTACTTGATCGAAACCCGCGTTGCAGTGGACAAAAAATGCTCGTGAGCTGAACATATCGCAATATTCCATTCAGCAAATATTGAAAAAAATGAGCTGGGGGTAAAGCCATTAAAATTCCAAAAAGTGAAGTTCTTGCACACCGCAACATAAAAAAATAGACTTAAAAGAGCTAAAGAGTTGCTTCGCTTGGCCGAAAGTGGTGAACTGCCGAATTTGGTTTTCTCCGATGAGAAAACATTCGTTGTCCAGCAGTTTGTAAACAAATAAAATGATCACGTTTACTTGCCAAAGAGGTCAGCTGAAAATGCGCACCTTCGGTTGGCCACCAGAACTCAAGCACCGGTCATGGTGATGGTGTGGGCCGCCATAACAGCCGATGGTCGCTCTCCGCTCGTATTAATTGACTGTGGCCTCTGAATAAATGACGAATATTATCGCGAAAATATTCTGGAGGGTGTATTAAAGCCTTGGGCACGCAAACATTTTGGCTGCAGACCTTGGACATTCCAAAAGGGATCAGCACCATCGCACTCAGCACGCGCCACCCAAGAATGGTTACAAAATGAGGTTACTCGCTACATTCCCATCGCACAATGGCCACCAAAATCTCCGGATACCAATCCGTTGGACTATTGTGTCTGGAGTATTTTGGAAAGCAAGGTTGGCACTATAAAATACCAAAGTGTCGATCACCTCAAGCAAGCGCTTCGCCGAGAATAGGCCAAAATACCGCAGAGCAACATTCGTGCAGCGTGTGACGGTTTCATTGGCCGTTTGAAGCCAATATTCGTGCCAAAGGTAACCAATTTGAACAAATGTAAACTTATTCTAAATTTTTAAGCTATTTCCGACTTTTTTTTGCTTTCATTCAATAAAATTTAAAAAAAAAGTAAAAATTATGGCGTTTGACTTCGTTGCAGTTTTTTTATGTCACCTTTGTCATTGTTTCTTGTCAGTTTCTAGTTCTTTGTGGATTAACAGATTTCTTAAAATACAGAAATCTAAACATTGGCTATACTTTCTGCGCACTACTCATGTAATGTATCAATCTTTTTGGGTAGTGAAAGTAGGAAAAATCTCCAAATGTCATACTTATAAAATCGTTGTTGTTTTTCTTCATTTTGTTTTTCTATTCCTAAGAATCCGGATATTGTTTGTGTGTTTGTTTTTGTCTCTCTTCTAGCACAATTGACCGTTTAGATAATTTTATGGTTTTGGCGAATTTAAGCGAAGCAATGAAGCGAGTTGGTAAAGCTGCGCTGTAACGCTCAGTTTTGTTTCTTTAGTATTATTATTATTAATTAATTAGCACACCAATGGAAAAGCAAAAAAACAAATTGTGTGAAAATATTTCTCACTTTTCGCTGGAAAGTGAAAAGAAATGGCAAGCAATATTACAAAATAGAATAGAAGATTATTTCATTTGTTGTTTTTCATCATCATCAAATCATCATTATCATCTTTGTTTTTCTTGTTGTAGTTGTTTTAGCTGTCGATCGCCATGGCATAACGATCGAACAAGTCTCGATTATTGGTAAACGGAATCATAATTTCTTTTCGTGTAATTCTGATGGGTGGGTGTGTTGTGTTCGCTGGATGAGAGGGGTGAGGTAAGCGTTTCCAATGTGGTTTCCAGCTGATGGTGTTGGTGATGATGGTGGTGATGATGTTGCTGCTGCTGCTGCGGATGTTGATGGTGTTGCTGTTGTGATGCATGTGGGTGTGTTGAATTGTGGTGGGGATGAGTGTTCGGTGTTGCTGTTGTTGATAACATTCCTGAGGATTTTTGTTGTTGCTGCTGTTGTTGTTGTTTGTTCAGTGTGGTTGCTGTTGTTGTATTTGCTGTGGTGTTGGTGGTAGTTGTGTGGATTGTTGTCGATGTTGTTGCTGTTACTGTTGAGTGTGTATTAAGTTGATGTTGTTGCTGCTGCTTTTGTTGTTGTTGTAATTGTGTTAGTGTTGGCAGTGGCGGTGGATTTTTAGCTTTTGTTAGTGGTATTGGTGTTGGCATTGGTTTTGGCGTTGTCGTTAAATCGATACCCCATTCATAGAGGAACTCCAGTTTCTGTTGTTCCAGGGGGTCGTCACTAGTTGTAGCCGGCAGGGCAAGCAAATGTTAGGCTTCTAAGAATATTAAAGCAGTTGGTTTGGGTTCCAAATTCGATTTTTTCGCTTCGACAACCAAAAAGGTTATATCAGCCTTTTCACGATTCGCAAAACATTCGGCTATAAGTCGGGCAACCTCCTAGAGTTTTTTTGGGGGGATGGAAATAATTTGAAAAAAAAAAATAGTGGAAATTTCTTAAGAATCCATAAAAAATAGGCGAGGAAGAGCTACTTACCTGATGATGCAAGCCTTCGACTTTATTACCATCCACCTCCAGTATCAGCTGCCCCACCTCTAGGCCGCCCGCTTCGAATGCTGCTCCATTTTCCTAGAGGGGAAAATAAAGTAGATTAGCGACATGTTCATACCTACACATGTATATGAAAATTATAGGTGGTACACATATTGAAGAACTTTTTCAGAGGTCTTCAACTCATGGAAAGCCATGTAGAGGTCTTCTGTAGATATAATAAGTTCTAGGGGATATTTTTTAATGATAGGAGCTCGTCTATAGATAAGAGTCTATGCAGAGGTCTTCTGTAGATATAATAACTTCTAACGGATATTTTTAAAAATAGGAGCTCTTCTATAGATATGAGACTTTCTCTAGGATTTTTTGTCTACAAATATTTTAAAAGTTCCTATATATGAAGAAGGTCTTCCAGAGGGCCTCCCCAAGATTGAAGACCTCTTATGGGACTTCTATAAATAAAATACCTTCTAAAGATTGCTTTATACATAGAATGTCTTCCAGGGATCTACTATAAATGGAATGTCTTATTTATAGAAGACTTTACGAAGGCGTATACAGGGTAAGATGGAAAAAACTGCAACCAAATTCAGACTGCTGTCATTTCTAAGCCTCTTATCCGATAGCTGTTAAAATTATTCCAGTGACACCTCATTATATTGTTTACAAGCGTACAAAAGCATATTGGTGAGAATTTTCCAGAAAAAAGTTTTTGGTGACGGAGTTCAAGCGTGATAGTGTGATTTCTTTATATTTGGCTGGAAAACTACAAGGGGCTATCGTTGGAGCACTCCAGCTTTTAAATGTGAATAAATATTTGTGTCTCGTACCATCGCTCGTTAACCGTGATACAGGTAGCGTAGCCCGACGTCAAGGAGGTGGACGGAAAAAACAGCAACATCAGCAGAAATGGTTCGAAAAATAAAGAAGCGACTTGATCTAAACCGGCGTCGCAGTGGCCGAAAAATGGCTCATGAGCTGAACATATCGCAATATTCCATTCGGCAAAAGTGCAAGAACTTGCAACGCAACAGAAAGAATATAGACTCAAAAGAGCTAAAGAGTTGCTTCGCTTAGCCGAAAGTGGTGAACTGCCAAATTTAGTGTTCTCCGATGAGAAAATATTCGCGTTTGTAAACAAACAAAATTATCCTGTTTACTTGCCAAAGAGGTCAGCTGAAAATGTGCACCTTCGGTTGGCCACCAGAACTCAAGCGCCGGCCATGGTGATGGTGTGGGCTGCCATAACAGTCGATGGTCGCTCTCCGCTCGTATCAATCGACCGTGGCGAATATTATAGCGAAAGTATTCTGAAGGGTGTATTAAAGCCTTGGGCACGCATTTTGGCCGCAGACCTTGGACATTCCAACAGGACTCAGCACTATCGCACTCAGCACGCGCCACCCAAGAATGGTGGTTACAAAATGAGGATCCTCGCTTCATTTCCAGCGCACAATGGCCACCAAAATCTCCGGATACCAATCCGTTGGACTTTTGTGTCTGGAGTATTTGTTTGGCACTAGAAATTACTAAAGCGTTGATCACCTCAATCAAGCAAGCGCTTCGCCGGGAATGTGCCAAAATACCGCAGAGCAACATTCGGGCAGTGTGTGACGGTTTCATTGGCCGTTTAAAGTCCATAATTCGAACAAATCTAAACTTATTCTAAAATTTAATGCATCTTCCGACATTTGTTTTGCTTTCATTCAATAAAATTAAAAAAAAAATTAAAAATTATGGCGTTTGATTTTTTTGTTGTTTTTCTTATCTCACCCTGTATATATAGAAGAATTTACGGAAGCCTATAGAGAGCTTCTTAAGCACATAAAAGACCATCCATATAAAGCTTTTCAGAGGTCTCCGGTTATAGAGGATTTTATAGAGGTCTTTTGTACATAGGGGGCTTTGAGAAATCATATTCCAGAATACTTTAACAGATAGATGGTATTCTAGAGGCTTGAGGATTCCTATTTATTTAAGATCTTCTAGTAGTCTATTTTTCCTAGAAGGTTTCCAGGAGATCTTCCAAGGGACATTTATTACAAGTAGGTATTCCAGAGGTCTTCTGCACATAGAAACTCTGGAAAAATCTTCTGTCATAGAAGGCTTTCATGGTAGACTCGGGCCATGACTTTTTCCGACCATTGTAAGTCAAGAATTTAATTTGTAATTGCAAATATTTCAATAGTAATTCAGGAATTCCATGCGTAATTTGAGTCCTTCCATTTTTACTACGAATTATTCCACTTGAAAACTTAAGCAAAAAATACGAATTTTTTTCCATTGATTTTTCGAATTACAAAATAATCAATTGCAACTTCAAATGAAGTAATTCGAATTAAAAAGGGAAAAATTCGAATTCAAAATAATCTTGTAATCCGTTACATTCGATTTGAAATTCGAATTAATTTTGCGTTTATGCCCGTAAAGATAAATTTTAAAATATACTAGCAAAGACACAAACCACTTGCAGTCTGTGTTGGTGCACACTAAATTAATATAACAGGAATATGGCATAATTTCCCGACGAGGACGAATAAACAAAGTGGGGTTGCCAGTAGGGAAGCAAATGAAAGGTCTCGAGTAGTTCTTTCTGAGTATATATGTCTTATATTCCCAAATGATTGCAGATGATCCAATTTTTCCGATTTTACGCAAACCCCACTTTGGTTTGAAAATCGGAAAAATTCGTTTATCTGAAATCATTTGGGAATATAAGGCATTCAATCCAAGAGATCCAATCAATTAGAGACTTTCTACTGTTAGGAAACTTCTAGGAGACCCCTTTTTTCGTTTTAAGAATACATTGACCGTCAATAAATGGAAGATCTGGAATTTTTATAGATATCAGGTCTCCAATAGGTCTCCTATCAGGTTTTCGATACGTAGAGCTGTATATATAGTGCTCCATAGAAGAAGGTAATATATTTAAATATTGTTCTGCTGGCTCCTTTATAACCAGTAATTAATTAACCCTTCATTCTTAAAATTTTCACCCAAAATTAAATTTCTATGAAAATTGTTGCATAATATTGGTGTTTTTCTTATTGTTGTTGTTGTTGTTGTTGTTGTTTTACTTACATGTATATTTATTATTCTAGGAAGCGGATGTTTTGTATTAGCACCACCTTCGATAGCAATACCTAATATGGGTTTTGTTTTCTTAACTGTAATGTGTAAGTTGCCTCTATGATCAGGTACGACGTTTGGATTGTGTTCATGGGTTGTTTGTTCAGTCGTTGAACCATTTTGCTGCTGCTGTTCAGCCGATAATCTTTGCATAGACTGCAATCAATAAAAATTTTGAAAAAAGGATTATTAATGAAATGGATAATTAAATTTATGTTGAAATTAATATTTTTGCTTTAGCTGTATATATTGCTGGCTATAATGTGAAAATTACACAAAATATATATTAAAGTAACGAATTTGAATAACCGTAGTAGGGGAAAGGAATCGGCGTGAAATATCTGCAATAAGAAGAGACTTTGAAGATGGCGAGAGCCGGAAAGTTGTTGTAATCCTAGGAAACAATCGAATGCGAAGATCCTTGTGGGAATCATAGATAACAAGGATGTACAGCTTCAAAATAAATGAAACAAAGTTAGTCTTTCATATTCACCGCGTGAAATGTGTTCCGCCGTCTTGTTAATTATCCATGAATCAAAAAAACATTTGTGGAGAATTGTCGATAGAAATGAAGTATTTCTATGAAAAAATATTGGTAAAAATAATAAAATTTTAACTAACTAACTAACTCGTCTGCTTTCTCATATTACCCCTTTGACCAGACCAGAGATTTGTGTGAGAAATACTCTCGTCAAGGCTTGGTCATCGAATTATATTGTTATAGATTTTCAAGCATGGTGATGTTAAGGGACTTGAGGAACTTTGCTGGTTTTGTTATAGTTGATATGTTTGCTTCCGAAGGTATAGCCCTCCCTATATTCAGTAGTTTGATTATATTGTAAGTTGATAATAGGTGCTAAAGCTTGTGATTGAGAATTGCATAGCTAGGTTCAGGTCTTCGTATAGCCCCATATAACGGTATTTTTATATTCGGTATTTTTATGAATTTAGCATTATTCTTCAACGGAATTTCTGAGAACTTGCAGATTCCTCCCAAATGGTGGAGGGTATTCAAAGTTCGGCCCAGCCGAAAATACAGCTTTTTAACATGTTAAATATTACATTTTTCTATCGAAAGGCCATTGGTAATTGTCATACCTTTTTGAACCCTCAGCTATATGGCATGAGAGGGTATATATCATTTGATACGGCGAAAACGTAAATCATCGAAATAACGGTTTCAGGCCCTAGGCCTCTTTGGACCAAATCCGTTTCAGAACATTTGGATTCGATCTAGCGATATTCGTCCATCTGTCCGTCTGTCTGGCTGATGCGCACGATAACTTTGTACATCGTAACATTATTATCAAAGTTAGCTCGAGTTCGCAGATGGCAATATCGGCCGTTCCGGTTCCTTCCCCCACAAAAGGTCGACATTTTCAAAAAATATATTTTCTGCACAGAAAGAAAGACGATTATCCGATTTTGCTCCAACTTTGCAAATCCTATATTTGCGCTAGTTCTATATCAGGTGCAAAAATGGATAATATCGGTCCACTCCATCAAGTGCTTCCCCCATAAAGGGTCAAAATTTTGAATAATTATAACTTTTAAGAATCCGATTGTCTTAAAATTTCACACATCCCAATATTTTTATGGACCCAAGATCTGGTGATAAGATGGAATATATCGGTTCACTCCTTCTGGTACCTCCCCCAGAAAATGGTCAAAGTTTTGAATAACCAAAACTATCATAAAATCCAGAAATAAGCATCAGGTTCTCTTTATATTTCACACATCCCATTATTTCCACTAACAAAATATCTGTTGTGAAGATGGGATATATCGATCCACTCCTTCTGGTACCTCCCCAACAAAGGCTCAAAATTTTGAATATCCATTAAGCTCTTACAACACGAAATTAACATCTAATTTCATTCAGACTCGGTATATCTCAATAATTTTAATCAACACAGGATCTGTTATAATGATGGTAGATATCGACCATTTCTTCTGGTACCTCCCCCACAAAGGGTCAGAATTTTAAATAACCAAACGATCATAAAATCCGATATAAGCATCCGGTTCTCTTCAAATTTCACACATACCATTATTTCCACTAACACAAGATCCGCGAACCCCTTCTGCTAACTCACCTACAAGCCGTCATAATTTCCAATACTTATATCTGTAATAATTTGCGAAACAAGGCAGCAATTCTTTACAACTTTCTGTCTAAACTTTTCTCTAAACTAGAAATTTATATAATTATGGAATTTATAATTGGGCATAAAATTGGATATAAATGTTCGATTTTCTTGTAACTTTGCCCTTGTCAATATTTTTACATGTATTAGATGAAGTGTGAAAAATGGAATATTCGGTCCACCTCACGCACATTTCAACATTTTCTAAAAATGTTCGCTTAGTTTATATAAAGTTTAGGAAGTAGACGATACGAAATGGACAATGTTGGCCTTCGAAACCTACCCCATAGAGGGTCAACAATTTGAATAATCATAACAGAAGTCAAAATATATATTTAAACAAGTAAAAAAACATTATCATCGGCCGGGCCAAACTTTTAATACCCTCCACCTTAGGGTAAAGGAAACATTAGAAGAAATGTGGCAAAAACCATTAAAATGCCGAATATCGGGAGGTATCGTTATATGGGGGCTATACCAAAACGTGGACCTATGATTACAATGACTCGCCAAACGAACTGGGACCCATTAGGATCTACAACTACCAATTTTTAGACATATCCGTGAAGAAATGTGTCAAAAATCATCACAACACCGAATATTGGGAGGTACTGTTATATGGGGACTATACCAAAACATGGACCTATACATTCAATGTTTCCACACACGAACTAGAACCCATTCTGGCCCACAAATACCATTTTCAAGACAAATCAGTGAAAAAATGTGGTAAAAACCATCAAAATACCGAATATCGGGAGGTACCGTTATATGTGGGCTATACCAAGTCGTGGACCCATATATGCAATGCTTCGCCACCGGAGGTGGAACCCATTATGACCAACAAATACCAATTTTTAGACAAATCCGTGAAAAAATGTGGCAAAAATAATCCAAATACCGAATATCGGGAGGTACCTTTATATGGGGGCTAAAACGTGGACCTACACATGCATTGTTTTGCCACACGCACAGGGACTCGTTATGACCCATAAATACCAATTTTCAGACAAATCCGTGAAAAATGTGCCATAAATCATCAAAATACCCAATATCGGGAGGTACCGTTATATGGGGACTATACCAGAACGTGGACCGATATATTTCATTTTCAATACCAACCATCCTAGACACAATACCAATTGCTCTGCTAAATTTTGGCGCTCTACGTCAAATAATGTGGGCTGTATGATTTCAACAGACAGACAGACAGACGGACATCGTTAAATCGACTTAGTATTTTATGCTGATTATGAATATATATACCTTATGTGGTCTACGACGAATATTTAAGGATGTTACAAACGGAATGACAAAGTTAATATACCCTCCTTTCCAAGGTGGAGGGTATAATAATCGAACATTGGCTGAGGGTATACATCTGTCGGCAAACCCGACAGAAACTTTTTAACTTGTTTATACATATTTTGCTATATATCCAATTAACAATTGTTTCTGGTCCATTTCTATCTTTAACAATTCTATACTGACCCTACCCCTACCTCCATGCTAAATTTCGTGAGTATCGGACCATAAATGTGATCTGTAGGGTGATTACACAGACGGACACACATAGCTAGCTCGGCTCAGCTCGACCAGAGAGGAAGATCCATATATAACATCCTATGTCCAGGAACCATATTTCGAAGTGTTACAAACTTTTTGGCCAAATCAAACGTATACCCCTTAAGATATAAGCATGAAAAGTTCTGCCCGGCCGAAAAAGGCCCTTTTCAGTTTCTAGTAATGTCTTTGGCTATTCCAATAATCGAACGGATCTCGCCAATACATATTCTATATTCATATTCATAATTCTATATTCATAATTAATTTGTGTAATTTTCACAATGCATAATAATAAATAATTATATAATGTATTAAAAACATATGTATATAAAATATAACTTCTTCTTTAAGTGTACATTGTTTATGGTTTTATATATGTATATATATATTGAGCACTAAAAATCAAGAATTGGTGTTTGTTTCTCGGTTATATTGTATATAAGTATATAAAAATAAATATCTTATTACCATTAAAAAAACAGGAAATAAAAATAATACATTTGTTACAAAAATTTCTAGCAAGCATTTGGATGTTCAAAAAGTCTTTAAATCAAACATAAGGTTTATTCAAGTATTCAAGAATAATAATAATAATATTTGTAAAAGTATTATTAACAAAGTTTGAGTTAGAGAGCCATACAAAAGTTAAATATATATTTTTTGGATAAGTATTAATAGTTAAAGTGTGAGTGTGTGATATTTTTTTTTATAAAGGTAGCAAATTTCCAACGAGGATTGAGTATAATAAATATTTTGTACTGTACAAACAAGCCAATTCTAATTGAAATTTTGATGAGTGTTTTTAATGGCAAGGAAATATGAGGGTGATATGGAAATTATGATTTAAATATTGGGAAAAAAGAGTTGTGGTTGATTACGCCTTTAATTATTCTGTGGACTGGAATATGGAATATAACATCATTTCGTGGTACTGTACAAACAAAAGGCAACTCTATTTGAAAAGTTTATGGGTTTTTGGATAAGGAAGTGTGGATATAAAAATAATGTTTCAGATATTGGAAATATAAACTTCAAAAACAATATTTGGACATTCAAGAGAATTCAAATGTACTGTATGAACAATACAATTCTATTACAATATGTAAACTTGGCAGTTTCGGCGCAAGCAATGAAGTAATATAGAAATTGTGGATCAAAGTTAGAAGTATGAGGTTTTGGGGGGTAGTACGAATGTCAGATGAAAATGATGAGGGAAGAAAGGTTTTATGAATTTTTGAAATATGTTTTTTATTCTGTATCCTCCTCTTATTTTCTTATCCGTGTAGCAAAAATATACAAAACTCTTAATTGTATGTTTTTTTTTGGCTGAGAAAAGAAATGATGCCTTGGTATTTTCATTTGTTGAAAGAGAAAAGTTGTGTTTGGCTTCGAGACCGCTCAATACACTACTTACCTGATGTCTACGTACACCTTTTTCGCCCAGTAGGGTGCCGCCTTCTTCCTTCATATCGAAACTTCGTGATAGTTTTGTGGCCAACTCCTAATTTTTTTGTTATTTTACAAATTTTTGTTTGGGGTTTCGAATTTTGTTTCAGAATTTGGTTGTGTTGTTGAGCCAGCACACATTTCAATAATTGGATTGATCGAAAGGTTTTTATTGGGTTTTGGATTTTTTTTTATTTGCAATGATTGAGAAAATGTTGAAAATTGTAAAAAAAACGATATTGTAAAGTTGAGAGAATTTTCTTTGCAAAAAAGAGTGTGGTGTTTTCTAAAGAAAAGAGTTTTTTTTTTAATTTTCAAATATTGTTTCTTTTGTTAAAAAAGAAAGGAAAAACATAACAGTTTTTTTTTGAGGAGAAAAAAGCGTTTAATTTTTTGCAGTGTAGATTTTTCTGAAAACATGTGTTGTGTTTGAACATTTGTATTTTTTTGGGGGAAGAAGAAACAATCAGGAACACGCACACAAACAGAAAAAAAGAAAATCTCATTTCACAGACAATCATCATCATCATTATAATCATAATTATCATCACCATCATCATCATTAGCATTTTAATTATTGAAGTGCAGTTTTTAGACATAACACAAATTTGAAAATGTGTGGTGTTCGTGATTTGTTGTTGTGTTATATTTTCAAAACTTGAAATGCCTCATATTTTTATATTGAGGTCATCTTCAAAAAGGAACACTTAAAAAACAACATCAGAGAAAGCTGAAGATTCCTTGCAACAATCCTACTTTCAAAAATTCAATTTTGTAGGTCGATAGATATACTGCTCTGAATCCATTAAATTTGTAATATCAGAAGAGGATAACAAGTGGGGCGTTAAATCCTGTCTGCACATTCTAAGTTCGAACTATTCCCTGTTGGAGGAGGGAACGAAAGGAAGGCAAACGAACAGATGAAGGACCTATGATATCAAAAAAAAAAAAAAAAAAAAAAAAGTTGCTGAAATAGTTGACTCGTGCAGGTTCTGCCTGGAACAGATCAATTATATATCGATTTCCAAAAGGCCCTCAACGCAATGAACCCATTTACCATGAACTCAAGACCTATTCTTCAAAACATAACCTCTCTTCTTAAGATAAATACTTCAGTTAAATATTTTGAGTTCCAAGTCAAGACAATATGACAGAGAATAAAAGGCTTAGCCAATTGATTTGAATAGGAGAGACTGTCAAACCATCAACCGTATAGTAACTTAATATTGACTACTTCAAAACAACCTTCAGCGTAAATAATCTGGTCCATTTTATTCCTTAAAATTTTACAGCCAAGAACCATGGTTAGTATTATTATGGCTCACGTTTTTTTTTTTTAATCTTTAATATCTAAACTCTGGGTCTTAAATTATGTAAGAGTCATTTGTATTGTGATTTTTTAACATTCATATTTAAAATTTTGAAGCATACTTTAAGGCTCTCATCAATTTTTTTTAACTAGGAGGAATACAAATTAGAGCTTATTTTATTATTATACCCTATACCACAAATTGGTAAGATTATTATGTCTTTGTGCAGTTGTGTGTTTTAGGGAAAAGGAACCCATAATTATTTTTGAGGATATTCATAGAATCACTTTCTGACTCGATTTATACATGTCAGTCCGTCTGTTCCTGTATTCTTGCGAAAATATTCAGGTCGAATTTATTATCCGATTGAGATGACATCTTCAAAACAATATTTGATTGGCCAAAGGACGAACCCTATTGAAATTAGTAATAATCCGATCAAATTAAGATATAGCTTTTATATATCTTCAACCGATTTCGGTTTAATTGTACACCAAATGGCCAATATAAGCCATAATGCCCTGAATTTTGGTACATCCGACGGAATTCATTCCAGAAGAAAGTACATCAAATTTGGAGAGAATCGATTCAGATATAGCTATAGCTCCCATATTTATGTTTCGTCTGATTTTGGGTTTTAAGTCCCTCACATGCGTAATATGCACTCCACAAGAATGATATTTGGTACCAGGTATCTTATAGAGCTCGGAAAAAATTTAGCCAAATTTTATCGAGAACGGCTAAGATTTGGATATAGCTCCCATACATATCTTTAATCCGATTTCAGGTTTGTTGTGCAAATGATGGCTAATATCAGTCCAAATGTAGTGAATTTCGGGACGTACGTTTCCATTTTATGGAACTCGTCTCCGATACATATTTTGTTAATATAATCCTTGCACTCTATGAAAAATTAGTATTGTATTATATATATGGTGAACAATAACTTTAAAATCGGATGAAGGTATATACAAATCTGAACCTATCTCTATAAAATTTGGCAGAGGTATTTTCGAGCGGTATCTGATGATCAAATATCACTGTTGTGGAGCGCATATTATGCATGCGATGGACTTTAACCCCAAATCGGATGAAATATATATATGGGAGCTACGGCTATATCTGAACCGATTTTCACAAATTTGAAGTTTTTGTTTCTAGGAAGCATTAAGTCGGAGTTTCCAAAATTCACTCCATTACATTAACCATTTGGTGCACCATAAACCTGAAATCGGATAAAGATATATACGAGAGCTATATCCAAATCTGAAGCGATCTTGACAAATTTCAAACACTTATTTGTGAGCTGTATGTGATATCTGATACTGTAGATCATTGTTGTGAAGTGCATATTACGCATGTGAGGAACTTTAACACTAAATCGAATAAAGCATGTATATGGGAGCTATAGCTATATCTGATACGATATTTGAAATACCAGTTTCTAGGACGAATCCATTGAATTTGCCAAAATTCAGTGAGCTATATCCAAATCTTTAAACGATCTCAATAAAATTTGACAGAGGTATTTCTGGGCTGTATGTGATATCTGATACCATAGATCATTGTTGTGAAGTGCATATTGCGCATGTGAGGGACTTAAACACCAAATCTGATGAAACATACATAGGGGAGATATAGCTATATCTGAACTTTTTTTCACTTCAATTTTCACATTTGATGTACTTGCTTCTAGACTGAATTCGGTCGGATGTGCCAAAGATCAGGTCATTTGGACTGATATTGATCATTTGGTACACAATTATACCGATATCGGTTAAAGATATATATGGGAGCTATATCTAAATTTGAACCAAGTCTCACCAAATTCAATAGGGTTCGTCCAGGGGCCAAACAAATATTGGTTTGCAAAATGTCATCTCAATCGGATAATAAATGCGACCTGCATTTTGTTCACAAAAATACATGGACAGACAGACGGATGGACGAACGGACTGGCATGCATAAATCGAATCAGAATGTGATTCTCTGAAGATCCTCAAAAGTAACTATGGGTCTATCACGCTTACTTCTCCATGTTACAAAAAATGCGCAAAGATATAATATCCTTACCACTATGTGGTGTACGGTATAAAAAATGTAGATAGCGTTTAAAATTATGCCGAAAATTTTTAAATATAAATTTGAAAAAAATCACATTACAATCTATTATTATGGTGTTTGAATTAGCTTCATGATGTTAGACAAGGCCATATATTAGAGGGGATAAAGAAGAGGTAGATACAATCGACGTATCCTGGAAATATACTAAGTAAGGCGGGAAATAAAAACTCAGACATTATTCAAAATGTCTTCTAAAAATTTGTTAATCCTGGCTTGGTAAATGCTCCGAAGGTCTTCCATCGCTAATATTTTTCCACCAATGTACATTTATAATCAATCTACTGAATTCCAAACATTCCAACCTTAGAGCTAACCTGTGAAGCCTTTCTCCTGGCAGGCTAAGCTACATTCATACGTCTCTTAAAAATCAAATTGTTATGGGCTTTTCACATAAGAAACTAAATTAAATTCTTATTCAAACATTTAACAAATTTACAGTTCCGGAACCTTGGATAGGTCCGCTACTGTCATCAGTAGCGAAGTCCTTCGTGGTATTAATCTTTCCATCGATATTTGATTATTATAGGTTTGAAATTCTTTTATAGATTTCAACCAGAACGAGAAGCGACCAGGCCTTGTTGGAAACGATTAATAATTGTAACACTGAGCTACAAAATTTGATTTATGAAAGTAGAGCTAAAAAAGAAGATGTGTGCTTCGGCGTTTTGAAAGTTTACATTAGAAATTAAAATTTCTTGAAATCCTTAAATTTTGAGCATATAATGTCTTTGGCAATATTACTTATAATAGTACGAGAAAATTTTAACCCTCAGGTGATATTTTTTTTGGGTTTTTTTAAAATATAGCTTAAAGCTTCCCATAAATTGGATCGGAACAAGTCAAAATATTTTGAAAAATTGTTTGTGATGTCTGTTTGTTTTTGGAAATCACTCTAGCTTTATATAAGAAACACAAATCACTCTAGATCTATGTTTTGATATAGTCCCCATATAACTTTACCTCCAAATATTTGGTATTTTGATGATTTGTGCCTCAATTTTTACTGGAAATGTTTATGACAGAAAATGGCACATATAGGTCTTCGTATAGCTCCCACATAACACATTTTTCAACGGATTTGTCTAAAAATTGGTATTCGTGCTTCGTTCTAGCTCCGGTGGCGGAACATTGTATAAATAGCTCCATATTTTCGTGTAGCCCAATTTGTCTTAAAATTGGTATTTGTAGGTCCATGTTTTCGTATAACCACCATAGTCACATTTTTCTACCGATATGTCTAAAAATTGGTATTTGTAGTTCGTTCTACCTCCGGTAGCAGAGCGTTGAATATGTAGGTCTATGTTGTCCTATGGTGCACATATAACGGTACTTTCGGAGGTTCGGTATTTTGACGATTTAAGTCACTAACAAGTAAAAAAGCAGTAAGTTCGGCCGGGCCGAACTTTGAATACCCTCCACCATTTGGAACGAATTAGAAAATTTTCAAAAAAATAAAATCCAATAAAAATTCTTTTAAAATCTTTAAAATATCTAATATAGGAAGGTGCCGATATATGGGGGGACAAATCTACGTCTGCGTGTAAAGTACTCACAAGGAACTTCGTGTGTGGATTTTCAGACAATACGATTGGAAAATGTGGCTAAAATCATCAAAATACCG